AAGCCAAGACAATCCAGCAATTGAGTTCTGATAGGAAAAGTCTAATCTTCCCGATGTTATACATAGCGAATCTGAGTTCTAACAGAGTTCTAGCAATGTGGTCTGTGAAGTTCAGCTGTGAATCAAAAACCGACCCTAGGTATGTGGTGGCCCTGAAAGGTGCCATGGTCAAGCTGCTCAGTTGTATAGTGAAGTTATGCTTAATAAGTGTTGGGCTGGCCAGGACTACCAGTAGTTCTGTTTTAGGCAGGTTGAGTTGACAGTGATGATCCTTAACATCTGTCAGATATGCTGTAATTCAAGCAGCAAACTAATGGATCATCCAGCAGGAATGAGCATTAGAGTTAAATGTCAACAGCATAGCAATGATAGGAAAAGCCATGTTTCTGAATGACAGACTGAAGTGATGTCATGTAAATGGAGAAGAGAAGTGGTTCAAAAACTGAATCCTGGGGAACCTCAGTAGCACAGTGGTGCCACTCTGACGTTTGACTCAAAGATATCCTGAATAACCTACCTTGAGGTAAGAGCTGAACTACTGGCATACGGTTGCAGATATGACCAATGTTCTGAGGGTTTGTCAAGAGAGTTTGGTGGTTAACTGAGTCAAAGGCAGCATACATCTCCAGCAAGATGAGCACTGAGAATTTGTATGTAGCTATTGTGAGTCTCACAGCTGAGAGCATTATTAAATAGGTCCATTACACTGATTCATACTAGAAATAATATTTTTCATATTTAAATATATTATATATAAATAAACCATTTACATTTAAACCTTATTTTTAAACTACAATATATTCAGATTTGTACATGTATAGATTTTTACTCGGTTTAAATTATTGTGTTTTTATACACAAGACATTTTTATAATCTTTTTTCTTAATACTTCTCCCCACTCACACTTCCAGGAGAAATTGCTGCTTTTATGTCTTAAAGCAGGGGTTTCCAAACTCAGTCCAGAAGGGCCAGTGTCCTTCAGTTTAGCTCCAACATCCTTCAACACACCAGCATGGAAGTTTTAGTATTCAGGTTTGTTTAATTGGTGTTGGAACTGAAATATGCAGGACTCCAGGTCGCAATGGTCTCAAACTTAAATCCCGGAGGGCCGCAGCTCTAAATAGTTTAGCTTTAACCACCTCCAACCCACAACTGCCTAATAGTTTCTAGAAGTCTTGAACACCTTGAGTAATTAGATCAGCTGTGTTTGATTAGGGTTGAAGTAAAACTGTGCAGAGCTACGTCTCTCCAGAAACTAAGTTTGAGACCTAGGTCCTAAAAAGATAATTCACTCTAAAATGAATATTTACTGGCCTTTATGAATTACTTTCTTAGGTTTACCACAAAAATAATATATTTTGAGGAAATCTGGAAACCTGTAGCCAGGGCCGGATTAACCAATGGGCCTTATGGGCACAGGCCCAGGGGCCCGTGCGCACTAGGGGCCCCTGCGAGGGGGGAGAAAAAAAGACAATTTCGGAGTGTCTTTTTAGGCTAATTGCAAATAGCGCATCTAGTTGGACTAAGCTATTCAGGGTTTACGCCCATCGTTGCCTGTTTGATGGAGACGAGTAAGGACCGGTGAAATAACACAGCCGCAGTGGCGCACCTTGTAAGGCACACGGCATCATCTTTTGACGCGATTAAACATAACATCGGTTCGAATCCACCATCAGTTGAACTCGTGCAACTTTTTCCCCCCCATTACATAACAGATTGGAAATATATTTATTTTTAACAGGAAAGAAACATTTTTTAAAAATAATGCAAATGTGATATAAAGTCACAAGTGTCTCGTGGGTATTTAATAATGTTTAGCCTTATTATAGGCGCCTGCCGCGCCTCCCTCTCTTCAAAAACTAAATTGCTCAGACAACTGTATTTCCTCTGCGCAAAAAAATCGCGATCACATATTAATATTATTATTATATTTAAATTGCCTTTCTTTCTTTAACTAAACAGAATGCTGTTATTGGTCAAGTGCGGAAACGTTAGTTTTGTAATAACCCGCACTAAACTGAGCGGATTGTAGTGCAACGTTATATCTGTAATAGATCACAAATGAGTGGACAAGTGGATTTAGCAAACGCGAGAGAAAGAGGAGAGGAGGCATCTTTATTGAGGCATTTTCCATACACACTTTCTTTAAACAGACCCGTGATCAGGAGAATGAGGGTACAGAAGAAGACGTTAACTTTAAATGATGAGTAGCTAGCATTAACCAGGCGGAGGAGGCTAACGGCAGCGCAGCGCGGACTGGATTCATCGTGTGAGAGACAGACAGAAAGGGAGAGAGAGAGAGAGAGAGAGAGAGAGAGAGAGAGAGAGAGAGAGAGAGAGAGAGAGAGAGAGGGAGAGAGAAAGGCCCAGAAGAGGAGAGAGAGGGGAGAGAAGAGGTATAGTGTCTGTGATTTCGGATACTTTTAGGTTTATAATCAAGTCTTCATGACGAGAAGAGTAGAGAAAATACAGGGAGAGGAGGAGAGAGACAGTAAACCAGTGTTTGTATTATGAAAGACTCAGATTCATAGAACTCAGATTCATAGAACTGGATTGGAGAAGCATTGTGCGTTATATGCCATGGCAATAATATGCTTTATAAGTTTGTAAAAGCAATACACTAAAATACCCTTAAAAAATATATATATATATTAAAATATATTAAAAAATAATATATATATATATATATATATATATATATATATATATATATATATATATATATATATATATATATATATATATGTATATGTAGTTTTATTAGTATTTTTATTTAATGCTTTGAAAAATAATTTAAATCTTTGCAGACTATAAATACATATGTACTATATATTATTTATTTAAATATGTGGGCAACAAATTATAGATTCATTTTATTTAAAAATTATTATATTATTCTTATTTTTTAAATTCAACTATAGGGGTGCGGCCAGGTAGGGGGCCTTACAAGATAATGTGCCCAGGGGCCCCTGAGTTCTTAATCCGGGCCTGCCTGTAGCCATTAACACCCAAAGTTGGAAAAACAAATATTATTGAAGTCAATATAGTAACAGTTGTCCTGTCCACCCATTTTTAAAATTAACTATCCCTTTCTAAAAAATCTGCGTTTGTAATATTGTTTTTAAAACTTTGTGTCTGTTTTTTTATATTTATTATGTTTTGCGGCTGTTTTTATCTGTTTTACAATTATTATGTTTTGAGTTAATTGGCAAGTTTTATATTTCGTTAGTTAATCTTAAACTGTGATTGGTTACATCTATTCAACTAGTAGAAAAGTATCACATACCACGTGATTAATGCAATGCCTCGTCTGTGTAGTTAATTATTTTTTACACATAATAAACAACATTTACACGAACTTATAACTATTTATATATAAAACTAAAAACAAAAAGAAGAGCTGAAAATTAAAATTTTGTTGTACCAATCGAATTCAATCCTAACGTTACATGACAATTGACCATTAGTTACCGCCAACGTGATCAAGCCCTGCCTGTTTTGGAAGACTTCGGTGCATTTCCACTCACCTTTATCGCATTTCGGTGATCCTTTCTTCTAATCTACCAATTTTTATCATCGGCTAACGTTAACGTTACATGCGGTTCACATTGTAGAATAAGCTAAATGTAATGGCGTGTCATAAAAGTACGCCACGTTTTGACGCCAACAAACAGAATAAAACGCGGTTCCTCTAAACTCAAAATAAATGGTTGATATATTTATCAAACTTCCCGGAAGGTGGAATGTGACGTTAAGTATGTAAAATAGGTAACGTTAAGAAAGATACATGTTCATACAACCTCCAAACCGCATTCTGTTTCTTGAAGAGTCCATATGCTCAAATCACGCTGCTCTCAATGTGCTGAAACTGTGTTTCTCCTCTATTTTAGCAGTAAGGAGGAGAGCCCATGAAAACGAGCAGTTTGTTTGACATCTCCTGAGTGAATGCAGAATTTAAACTTGACGGTAGGTGTCGCTATTTCATCACTCAATTTATAGTAGGTCCCCTGTGATTGCCACAGTCTGCCACAACCCAATGTCCTTACCGTCCTGAAGCCTTTTCTTTTCATTATATTATTTTTGCAATGTAAATATCTCTGAGGTAAGATAACCATAAGTGGCAAAGTGTGTAACAAGACACAAGTTAAGAAAAATGTATATGACCTATTAATAAGCTAGTTTAAAGTGTGTCGTCTGTTGGAATATTTCGGGCATCTGGAATGTGAGTCCGCTGGCCAAGGTGACATAACTTTTAGGACAGCGAGTTTAAGATTTGCACTGCACATATATGACTTATTTAAATAAGGCCTATTATGCTGTGATAGTTTAAAGTGTAGCATATGTTTATATGAAATATTTCTACCTCACAGGCGAGCGAAATTGTCAATCTTATTATATGCACAGTGTCTAGAGACTGCAATTTCTTTAACTGCACAGGAAAATGACAACAAACCCCATTCCCCCTCGTTACTCTGTTATTGTTGACAGCAAATCAAATATAAAAGAGCAAGTCAGGGATACCAGCAGAACACTTCTGCACACACTGTTTGATTTATCAAGGATGCTAGATGCTATGGATCTGGTTTAAAACACAGGTTGTTTGTGTTTTGAAATGTTTTAATTAAAGTTGTCAAGTGTTGTAATTTTCAGCTATTCAAATACTTGTATTTGTCCTTGACTCAACATGATTTATCGTATATTACTTTAGCCTACTTGCTTTTTTCATAAATAAAAACATGGTTTCAAGAAAAAAAATATTTCGTAGGTTGTACAATATCTGATCTGAACCCAAAGTTCCCTTCATATGTTTTCTGTTATGCTATTTATTCAAAAATATTTTAAAAGGAATAACAGGTTTTGCTAACTACTTTTCAGTGTCAGCATTATGTTTAATAATTTAAGATATTTTTCATTGAAAAGAATCTGCTGTTTAAGCTGAATAGAGAATCTTCCATAAATAATAAAAACACAATGAACTAGTAGAAGGATCCTCACCAGACTCTGCTCACCACGTGACATGACATCTGCTGGTTATAGCAACTAGAGAAAACCAGTAATATAGATGTAGAGAAGGGATCGTGGTGGCACACCGGAGTCCACACGGCATCAGTGCGCAGTCGCTTCACCAGTCAGAGCTTCTGTCTCCAACGCTGCCGTTACGCACAGGTTCATCTCGTCTCCAAACACCTGATTTACAGAGACACGTACGCGGATTTTCACCCTCTCTATGAAAGAATGTAAGGCAGATATGTAGGCTTTCCTCTGAAGGATATGGTCACTGTTAAGCTGCCAAAGTGGAGCCGCGCGTATCACGGATCGGGGCGCTCCTGCAGGGTCTAGGATGCGCGCCCGGAACATCCCGATTCTTACCCGGGTTCGGGGCTGAGCAGGACTCCGCTGCCCCTGCTGGGCGCAGAGGCGGGAGGAGGACGCAGTCGACCCGCACCAGGATGCCTGTGATGAGAGGTCTGCTGGCCCCGCAGAACACCTTCCTCGACACCATCGCCACCCGTTTCGATGGCACCCGTAAGTGCGCAGAACCTACCAACTTACCTTTCTTTCACCAAAGTGTCACATGCAAATTCAAAGTGTACAAAGCGAATCGAACAGCCAAAGCCGTTTGTACCCGTGCGTAAAATCTGGAAATATTTTAAGTGTACAGGTTGCATAGTTGTGTTGTAACATTGTTCTGGGTGTAGTTGGCAGTGACAGCAGGCATACTGTACTACTGTTTTAGACAACATTCATTTTATATTTTAATGCATGCCGTTTATAACTCGTCCTACTGAAAAGCTTCATGGAATATTTGTATAATATAAAAAAAACTGAAATTCAGCAGTAGACTACTATTTAAGCAATCTGCAAAGAAGTTTAAACAGTGAAAACATTCTTATCATTATATTATTATTATTTTGAATATATGAATTTGAAATATTCATGATCTTTTTAACCCCATCTGAAGTTAATGTCCATGTCAGCTCTACCCTTCAATTGTGACTATTCTGACTGAATATAATCAGTCTTAAAGAAACCGATTTAAGCTTTTTCTGATTTCGAAGATCAGGCTGCTGCGTATCTGCTTATTTTGGTTGTTCTTCTGTGTTCTAATCTGTTCCCTGGCATCGCTAGTACATTTTGTCTCATTTTCTTCTAAGCATTTTTTAATTACATAATCTGAAGAATGGAAGCAATCTAATAAGATTTCACAGTGTGTGCTTGTTATTTGTCTTTAGAACACTCTTGATATCTGGATGGTTCACAGAAGGTGATAGAGGTTAAAAATTCTTTTCAAGGGGGAAAACAGGTGTGCGTGTGTTTGTGTGTGTCGCTTCTCCAGCATTGCAGATGACTGTCAGAAGCCACTTTTGAACTCTCTTCCTTTCTCTGGGCCGATCTTTCATCTAGAACCACAGAGAGTGAGTCTGTGGAAATGCTGCTCATGTTTACTTTGTGAAGTATTTTTGAACAGAAGGGATGAGTAAGTTGTGTGCTGCTGTCCGGGTGAGCAGTGGGTGTTTAGGTGGGTGGAGGGTCGCTAACATACATCTTCATGTTCAGAATTTTGTGTTTGTCCAGTGGTCAAAATAGTCTTGTTCAATAATTCATGAGAAATTGATTAGCACAATCTTTAATTTTCATGAGCCTGGCCTTTTCTTTTAAAGAGTCTGGGTGAGACAGACAGTTGAAGTTCATGAGGCCAGTCCATAAACAATACAATTGACTGCTTTAGTAATAGAGACACAAGATGTAAACAATGTGCATTTTACAAAAAAATGTTGTGAAAAGAAAAAGCTTGCCAGCAAATTCTGTGTAAATGTAAATATTTTGTTGCCATGACAATGCATGCCATAAAGCCAGTCACCTTAGAATGAGATTAAAACACACAGCTTAAGAAATGTGTTAATTTTAATGGACATTCTACAAAAGCTCATTTTACATTAATTGAATTTTTTTCTTGAACATTTACATTTTTTATTGAACATTTCATACTTTAATTTACTTGCAATAGTTATTGCAGCGTATTATGCATAATATATTCAGTCATTAGGCATCACTGTGGCAGAGTGGGTAACACAATCGCCTCACAGCAAGAAGGTCGCTGGTTTGAGCCCCGTCTGGTTGGCATTTGGCATTTTCATTTGCCAACCAATTGGCATTTCTGTGTGGAGTTTGCATGTTCTCTCTGTGTTCGCATGGGTTGTCTACACAAGTAAAAAGACATGCGCTATAGTTGAATTGAATAAGCTAAATTGGCCGTAGTGCATGTGTGTGAATGCAGGAGTGTATGGGTGTTTCCCGGTGTTGGGTTGCGGCTGGAAGGGCGTCTGCTGCATAAAACATGTGCTGGATAAGTTGGCGGTTCATTCCTTTGTGGCAACCCCAATTGATAAAGGGACTAAGCCGAAAATCAAATAAATGAATGAATAATCAGTCCTTATGAAAAGTAACTGGTTACATGTAATTAGCATTATGTCACATTAGGGCTGGGCCGATAAATGAGAATATATCGAATTGCGATAAAATTAATATTCATTTACTATCTCAATAACAATAAACTCTGGACTTTTTTTACTCTATATTGATCTAAGAGCCAATCACAAAGCAGACGTGTGCGACAATGGGAATCTTATAGTGTGTTGATATTAGACATTGTACTTAAAATTTTCAGCCACCAAAAGTTTACTTGCTTACTTACTCCCATCCGGGCCGTTTATGTTGAAGTTGATATTTAGCCACACCATGCTGGCATTTCGTAACATCTAATTTTTACAAGGTGGGTCATTAGCCCAATGCTCAACCCCTAACATGGAGGACCAGGAAATACACACATACCCTTTGGACATTTTAGCTTACCCAATTCACCTATAGCGCATGTCTTTGGACTTGGGAAAAACCGGAGCACCCGGAGGAAATCTATGCCAACACAGGGAGAACATGCAAACTCCACTCTGAACTGACCCAGCTGGGTCTTGAACCGGCAAACTTCTTGCTGTGAGGCAACATCACTACTCACTGCACCACCACCATGTCACCCCACCAAACATTTATTGACCAAAATATGTTATACCATTTAATGGACACTCTAATTTTTGTAGCTTAAGTCATTGTCTTAAATACGGAGGCATTTACAACTTATTTCAAAATATATCAATATTGTTCAGTATGGAAAATAATTATCGTGATATTGTTTTTGCCATATCGCCCAGCCCTACATCACATTCCAAATGATTGCAGTACCTGTAAATGGATTATTCACAATATTTATAAAATATGGATTATGTGATTACAGATGTTTTACACAGTTTGCAAACAATTCATATTTTTATCTACCCTGCACTGATTACATGTACCCAACCATAAGCCACGCTCTATAGAGACACAATGCTATAAAGTGTTACTCAGCATACAGTGCCTTACAAAATCTGGACTGAAAACTCAAAATCTTTAAGTTTTTGTCAGGTTGTTTATTTGTTAGCGACTGTGCACTTAATTTTTGCATTTTTATTGGTAAATCACCCTTTATTGTTATGCAGCCCCCTGCTATAATTGAATATCCCCCTGACTATAAATGAAATGGAATATAATACTGGAAAGAAAGGCTGCAGAAGAACATCTTCTAGAGGTCCTTTGTGGTCAGAGGTGGTAAAGACAATGATCTAGATTCAGATCAATGTTTGTCACTTCATCGTTTATTGCATTGCACATGGTCATTCAGCTGCATTTAAACTCAGCATGACGTGTCCTATCAAAGGCTTTATTCTGCCGTTTGATGCCCGAGAAAAGGAGAGAAAGAGCAAAAGGGAGAGTTTTGTGTTGCTGGCGTGTTGCTGTTTGTGAGGAGTTCAAAGACAGGCCCATGGAGAGAGGGTTAGTCGCTGTAGACACTGGCAAACACTGGCTGCATTACAGTGGGGAAACTCACATTCACACATTCTAGCAGTAAGTAATGGATCTGTAGCCTGTATTGAAATACAATAGGTTTGAAACTGATTGGATAAAAAAAAAATATATATAGTTATTTCTTTTCAAAGACATTCATATTGATTTTTAAAATTCTATTCTATTCTATTCTATTCTATTCTATTCTATTCTATTCTATTCTATTCTAGTCTGTTCTATTACATTTAGAACATTAATGGAACATATTTGGTTAGGAAGTAGTGTAATTTATAAATGATTCTACTCTTTGTTTTCATTAATGCAAAAATGCTAAAAAGCTCAAGCAGTCAGAAACATTCAGCTACAGTATTCAAACACAGAGAGCAGAGCTTGCCTGAGGTAACGGAAAAAGAAGCATCATTTGCTAAATGTTACATCTACACTAGTGGCCAAAGTTGATGTCTGGAGGGAACACTTGCACATATTTGCTTTTAATGCCTATAACATTTATTTAAAACTATCAAAATAAAAGGAATCATTTGGGAAGATGAAAACACTGAACTTGCTTAAGCATTTGATTGGCAAAAAAGGCAACTATAGCTAATCATGAAGTGTTTTTAGTATGCAAAAAGTACTTAAGGAAAGGAAATAAACACTGACTGGAGTTTAATCAGTTGGTTGATCCCTAGTAGCCCGCAGGCCTCTGTCCATCATGCACTCTTAACCATCCACATATAATTGGCTTCATCACTCTGTCTCCTCTCCGCTAATAGCTAGTGTGTGGTGTGTGGTCTGATGAAGAATGACTGCCATTGCGTCATTCAGGTGGATGCAGCTCTTTTAAGCTCTTGATTAAGAAGACCCCCCTCCCCCAAATCTGTAAAGAGATTTGAGTAAAATTCTTAGTGATTCAATGAATTGTTTTCCTTATTCTGTGTATTTTGTTGAGGTGTTTGTGCTTTTAGAATTTTATTTTGGGGCATTGGTATTGCCTACCAACTTTTATTGATGTTTAACAGTTTAGAAAAGCTATATTTATTGACATTTTTAATAGTTTTAAGTTGTTGCCTGTGTTGCAAATTATGGAACAAAAACTTGGTTATGAACTGCCAGTACTTTTACAGTTTTTATGGACTTATTTCTATATTTACTTCAATAACATATTGTAATATGTAACATATTGTTTCAAAGCACCAAAATGTCGATAAAATTCACTTTGTTAAAATGCTCAGTGCAGAAATACTGCAATTCATACTAAGTACTATAACTGCAAAGTACTATAATGCAATTTATAACCATCAATAAATAAATTCATAACCATCAATAAACAAACCTGTGAATCACAATAATAATTAAACCTAATTAGCGGATTTGTTTTACAATGTAGAAAAGCATTATAAATGGAATGAACGATAAGCATGTTTACTCGCAAAATAAATGCAGAACACACACACACACACACACACACACACACACACACACACACACACACACACACACACACACACACACACACACACACACACACACACACACACAACTACAACTACACAATATGTCTAGAAAATAATATTGTTGTGTTGAATTAGTTGACTTAGTTGTTGTGCCCAGTGTGAACTATTTTTTTGTGTACAGTTTAGCACTAT